CCTCCCTCCCTCCCTCCCTCCCTTCTCCTCCCTCCTCCCTCCTCCTCCCTCACTCTCCTCCTATGTAATGACCGATGTTTACCGTGTGTGCAGACTGTAGTGTGGTGACATCGCGGCTGCAGCTGATACTGGATGATCTACTGTGGGTTCTCACTGACACACAGCTAAAGGCAGCGCTGCACTTTGTCAACTCCCTCAAGTCCGTCATCGCCAAGTCTAACGAGCAGAGCAAGGTGCGCGCGAGCAAACACCTGCAGGTACGAACGTCTGCTGCGCCCTCGTCCTCGTAAACGATCGGCCGTTCACTTGTCATCTCGCGCGCACGTTTATTTTATTCGTTCACTTGTCATCTCGCGCGCACGTTCAACTGTTCACTTGTCATCTCGCGCGCACGTTTATTTTATTCGTTCACTTGTCATCTCGCGCGCACGTTCAACTGTTCACTTGTCATCTCGCGCGCACGTTTATTTTATTCGTTCACTTGTCATCTCGCATGCACATTCAACTGTTCACTTGTCATCTCGCGCGCACGTTTATTTTATTCGTTCACTTGTCATCTCGCGCGCACGTTCAACTGTTCACTTGTCATCTCGCGCGCGCGTTCAACTGTTCACTNTGTTCACTTGTCATCTCGCACACGCGTTCAACTGTTCACTTGTCATCTCGCGCGCGCGTTCAACTGTTCACTTGTCATCTCGCGTGCACGTTCAACTGTTCACTTGTCATCTCTCGCGCGCATGTTCAACTGTTCACTTGTCATCTCGTGTGCACGTTGAATTGTTCACTTGTCTCGCGCGTGTACGTTCAACTGTTCACTTGTCATCTCGCGCTCGCGGGTTGTTACAGGTGCAGATACAGAACACGTGCGGACAGAAGGTGGAGGCTCGCTCAGACATACAGAAGCTGTTCGCTAAGTACGACATCGTCGAGACGTCCTACCACGTCTACTGCGGCCGCATAGACCTTCACCTGTGCGAGGATGCCAACCCGGACACGAGTACGTCACACGACTTTTGACCCCTCTGCTGCCGCAGCTCGCACCGCCCCGCGGTCGTCTCGTCTGACCCTAACCTTGAGTGTACAGAAGGTCGCAAGCTTTGACCCCTTTCTTGATACAAGGTCACGACTTTTGACCCCTGATCGCTTCTGCTGCTGTCTCGCGTGACCCTAACCTTAATTCGGTTTAGATACGAGGTCACGACTTTTGACCCCCGGCTCGCCGCTCCCCGCTGCCATCTAACGTGACCGATTCTGTTATCGATGCGAGTTGAGTGTGACCTTTGACCCCTGTCTCGCTCCGCCAGCTTGTTTGACCCTTGACCTGACCCTTCCCCGCGTCTCATTCGAGGACTCGCTCTTTCTTTTCAGACGTGAAACTGCACAGCCACGAGGTAAAGGGAGGAGCAATGCAGGTCACCCTACACCGCCTCATCTTTGATCTCTACCCGTTCCACATCGCCAGTGAGTGCAGGGGGAGGGGACGAGGGAGGAGGGAGGGCACTGGGAAGGGCGCGAGGGGATGAGAGAAGCGTGGTGCAGTAGGGGAGGGAAGAAGGGAAAAAGGGTGGAGTGTGGACAGGCGAGGGGAGTAAAGTGGGAAGGGATGGGGACAGGGTAGTAAGTGATGAGGGAAGTTGAGAGGGAGGGTCACTATGGGTGAAGAGGACAGGTATGATATAGAGATTATTAGAGGAAAAACATGGCATGGGTGTGGGGAGCTTTTTAAACCTTATTTTTATAGATGCTTCTCTATACGAAAAAATATAGCTTTCCCCTCACATCGTACAACAGTTTCACATTCTTGCCACCAGGTGGCGAGCGCAAACATTGGGTGAAATACAACGAGGGCACGACGTGTCATCACAAGTGGGTCAAGCAGCTGCTGGACAAGTTCCGCGAGCAGGTAGGGGGCGCCACGGTGGCACGCCGTCGCGCATGCGCTGTGTGGTCCGGCGATCGGGGTCGTCGTCGTCGTGGTAACGATGATAGCGATGATTCGTTTGCGGCGTCGCGGCGTGCGCGATCGAAGCATCGTTATCGCACGCTGGCAATCTGTCTGCAACGTTCTCTGTAGTTAATGGAGCCACCTCTCAATGATGGTGGCCTGGCAGGTTGTGACATTTATTGCACGGGTGGGACCCATTCTCGCCTAAGGGAGGGGCATCTCGTTGTTTGCACACAGCCCTGGCAGGTTGCGCCACCTACTGCACGCTTACACTGGCTCGTGGTCGTTTCTTTACGAAAGATAAAAAAAGAGGAACGAGTCTAATAATAACACTGCCTGCTGTAAGAGGGAATGCTCTGATTGGTGGAAAAGTCATTCTGATTACGTCAAAGACTTGTGGACACTTAACAGTGTCCAGTGTAAGACAAGCTAGTTCATACCTCCATTAGGGCATCGTGGAAACGAACAGTTTCTAAATAACAGCGACATGCAGATTTTGCATGGTCGCATGTATGTTTTATGTATGCCCCCTTTCTACGGTTTGGAGGGGGTGCTGTAACAAAGGTAGACCTCTCAAGTGCGCATAAAGCTTCTGGTAAGCAATTGCTAATTAACTAACGAGGTGGCTACGCAGACATCATGACGACACGCGTATTCGAATCGGATTCTCTGAGATGACCCCTTTAGGAGCGGCGGTCGGCGGTGGGAGTGAGTAGAGTCTCCCCTTCCCCCTGCCGCCCGGCGCGTCGCCCCTCCCCCTCACTGCGCGCCGCCCCTCCCTCCCCTGCCGTCGCCCTCCCCTCCCACGCGTTCGCCTCCCCCGCACGTCGCCCTTGCCCCTGCCCCCCTTCCCCCACGCGTCGCCCCTCCGCCCGCGTTCGCCCGCTCTCGCCCCTCCGTCACCACGCGTCGCCCCCTTTCAGCCGCCCGCGTCGTATGCCCTACCCCCGCTCCCCCATCCTCTCCCAACTTCCGTGCGTTGCCTCTCCCTCCGCGCGCTCGCCCTCGCCCCTCCCACTCTCGCGTCGCCCGTTTTCCGCCGCGCTGCCCTCCCCTCCACTGGCGTCGCCCCTCGTCTCCCGCTCGCGCGTCCCGCCCCTTCCCCCCCTACCCCGCGCGTCGCCCCTCCCACGCGTTCGCCCCCCACCCTCCCGCGCGCCGCCCCTGGACACGCCGGCCCGCCGCGCGTAACGCCCTCCCCCCTCCCCCACCGTCGCCCCGCTGCCGCCTTCCCGCCGGCGCGTCGCCCCCCCCCTCCGCCGCCGTACGCCCCTCTCCTCTCTGATCGCGCGTGACGCCACTCCTCCCTCTGCCGCGTGTCTGCCCTGCCCCCTCCGTCGGCCCCTCCCCCCTTCGGCGCGCGCGCCCTGGCTCCTCGCCCGCGCGTCGCCTCGCTCTCCATTCTTGTGTGTGTGTTAGGTGTGTGTGTCGTGTGTGTGTGTGTTGTGCTGTGTTGTGTGTGGGTGGGTGTGGTGTGTGGGTGGGGTGTGTAAATAAGTTTTGCTCCGTCTCGTTAATAGTCCCCGGCTAGGTTCTCCTTTCTGTATATCTCTTGTTCTCGCGGCGCGCGTGGGCCAACCTCACTCGGAGCTCCGCGCGCGCGCGCTTCATGCATGCCCGCGCTGTCGTAAGATGCAAGGCCGGCCCCCCTTCGCCACCGGTTCGCGAGCCCATTCCCAGTTACCCCTCCGCCTAGGGCGCCGCTTACCGATTTAGCTGCAGACATCAGTAACTGAATACCCCTTTCGGCCTCGCGGCGTCGCGCCCTCCTCACCTACCCGCGCGCGTGCGTACTGAGCAGCATGGGAAACACCACGCTAGATTTTCGCCGGCTGGAGTCGCCCCTTTACCTTACAACTCCCCCATTTCACGCCGTCGTCGCGTTTCGCCCCTCCTTACATCCTCGCCCGGCGCGTCTCGCCGCATTGCCTTCAAATCCCCTTTTTTTCACGCCCTCGTCGCGTTGCCCCTACCCTGACCCCCTCCGCCAAAGTTACAGCGCGCACGCCCATGCGTGGCCTCCCTTCGCCCCTCGGCGGCCTTTCGCCATGGGTACAAGTGGCAGCTGTCTTCCGTATTCGAGATCGTTTCCCTAAATGCCCCGCTCCGCGGCGACCCCGCAGCCTCAAGGCCCCGAATTAGGCGACGAGAGGGCAAAGCTCCCTGCAATTTTTTCCGCCGGGGGCAGCGCATGTCTGAGCAGATATTGCCCCCCCTTGGAATTTTCTCCATTCCCCGCGCGCTAAAATGGATGGGCGCCCCCCATCCCCCCCTCCGAGGCACGCCATTCTTACGCAAGCGGTTCGCACCCTTCTCAAGCGCAACTCTCTCACAATTGTGTATGAAGCGGGTCACGAAGGCCATTCGTTATGAAAAAACTGCTCAACTTTGTGTGCATCCGTATGAATTCTACTGCTAAATTTTCGTCCTTAAAATTTAACTACGCCCTTCCTTCCGGCCACGGCGCGTAGAGCAAAGCTCTTTTCCGTACCCACACCCAATTCGTACAGCAGATCCTTTGGCCATTCTTCGCGTCGGGCCCGCCGCTTGCGACCACTTATTGAGCCTGTCCCGCCAGTTCGCCGAAGAAATCAAGGTCATTCCGATCGGCGCCGCTTTAGATCCTACGCCGACCACCCCGCCCCGGGCCGGCGCTCGACCCGACCCTTTCCCGCCTAGCGGCCGAGCGGCCGCCATGACAGGCCGCCCTCGCGCCTCGCACGCCGCCAGTTACCTCCCCCCTCCGCCGCAGCCGCGCACACGCTGCCTAGGACCGCCCTTTCGCCCGCGACGCGTCCCCCTACCCAGCCCTTCCGGCGCCGCGGTACGCTCGCCTTCGGGTTCGACATCGCCGTCCTCGTCGCCTTTCGCGCGTTCGCCCTTCTGCCGTCGTTCTTGCTTAAGGCCGCGCTCGATCCCTCCTGCCGGGCGTTCGCCAGGCTCTCTCCTGCCGGCCTTCGCCGCGCCGTCAGCGCCCCTCCATTTAATATATCTTTTTTCCCGCTCCTTCTCGCCGGTCGTGCGCTAGCGTCCGCCCCTACGTTCTCTACACCTACGGGCCCCCCGTATTCCCCGCCTCTTACGCCCGAGCGCAGTGGTGCACGTCACTCCGCCACGCTGGACGTCGCCCCTACGTCACGGATTTTCATATGTTTACACTCCGATCGTTCCTAAAACAAATGGGCAATTGCTCGCGGTTGGCAGCAATTACACCGCCTCCGGCCGCTTCACCGGGCTCCTCCACGATCGCTCATGGCCGTCCGTCCCACGTTTGCCCATCGTTATTAGTTTTTAACCCTCCCCCGCAGAAGCGCTCGGTCACTGGCTCACCATCTCCGCCCTTTCACCTCTAAATATCCTAGCATGCCGTGACATTCGTCGTAATCCTAACGTTTTAAATGCCGGCGCCTAAGGCCAAATACCAAAACCATCAGGTGTGGTTCCGCCGTTTCGCCCGTACTCCTCTGAATCCCCCCCATTTATTTCCCACGCCCTCGGTGCTCAAACATTTTATTGTCTAATTTCCTAAAGTAATAACAAATAAAAAATCAAATCACAACTAAATAAAGAATATCTGAATTGTCCGTTCACTTCCTTCTTCAAAAGGCAGCAACGCACATCCCTTCGGCACTATCGGTTTCGCTAAATAAACATGTTTCAATTAAATAAAGTTTTCCCTACTCCTTACCTCCCTTCCTACTCCTCTGCTAGACACAATCGTACACGTGCCCTTCTCGTTTCTCTTCTGGCACCTGAAACGGTAACCAACTTACTCTCCTCTGAAACCATCACGTATTTTGTTTATTGGACCTACCAGTCCCCCCATCGTGGAGTGGACGCGAATATGGCTAAGAAGATGTGAGACGAGTTGGCGGAGTGCTCTCCCCCATTCCCCTGCCCTGCCTCCGAACTCGAGTCTCTACCTACGCAATCAAAGGCCACCTCGACGTCTTTCTCCTGCACCCCGCCCTGTTCCATCATGGATAGAAGCCCTCTCTCCAGCAATTCGCGTCAGCCGGCAGGCACTTCTGCCGCGTCACCTACGCTCCTCCGTTCTGCTCGTGCTTACATCAAGGTCCGTCCACGCTGTCTCCTCGTTCACTCTCTCCTCGTGAGTTACCCTGGAGGCATCTGCATCTCGCAGCTGTCACGTCTCTCCCTCCCTCGAACGCTACCTGCGGAAATTGAACCCCCCTGCTTTTTCTCTACTCGAATCCTCTACAGAAAATCTCAAGGGACAGCAGGGCGCAATATGACTTCTACCTTTTCCGATCTCCCTCCCGTTCTTTCTCCGCTCGGGTCTCTCGTTCTTTAATTTAAAATGCAGGCTTTACCTGATT